TAAAGCTCGGAAACAAGGGATTTTTTTTTTTTTACAGGCATTTTTAAGACCTTTTCAAACTGCCGTTTTGCTCAACCTGCTTCTAAATTAATGATAGAATCCCACTCAATCCCATAAAAATGTTGATTTTTAAAAAAAAAATTGTAAATAAGCATGTAATCAGGCTTTCTCTTTTTTTTTTTTTTTTTTTGGTTACGTTACATTGCTTGTAATTTTCACAACGGTTGAAGCACACCAGAAAATTACAATATGCACTGCTGAGGAGGAAAAAGTAATTTAGATAGGATTTACTGTACCTTCTTTGCCACTACTATTTTTGTCTTGGCTTAAAACTCAAAAGAATAACTGATTCCAGAGAAAATATTTAGAAATTGTTCTTGGCAGAACTGCTGGTTTACCACCACAAATTGGCCTACAAACCTCAGAAATTCAATGTGACTTTAATCAATATGAGGTTAAAATCTCACCAACCTTGAAATATGTGTTTAAACCTTGTATGCTTTTGTCTAGTACAGATTAACTGTCATTCATAATAAGGCGGCACTTCTCCTGCATGAGGCTTCCATGACATTCTGAATTGTTCTGAAGTTATGAATCCTTTAGAAAGTGCTCTGTGTAGTCTTAGGGAGAGAGCAAAAGATATTAAAATATTTATTTTCAATCAAATAGGAATATTAGCTTGTATAACTGTTGAATGTAAAAGCATTGCCCATCTATTGTGATGTAGTTTTTTTAAAAAAAAAAATCTCAAAAAGCAAATGGAAATAGGCAATGGAACAGAGTTTCAAGAACATATAGTGGTACCATTAATCATTCAATATATTTTGCCCAATATTTGGTCTAATGCAGAGGTGGCATGAAAGCTGAGTACTATATCATAATTCTATATGTGGAGGTCTATGTACTCATTAACCGTACTGGATGCCATTGTCACTGTAGTGATATTTTCCCCTTCCTATTATGCACAGTTTTGTTTAAGGCCTTAAATTTACTTCTTACTTACTCTCCAGACACCTGTTGGAGTTTTCCACCTGTTTTCCACCTCTGTTGGAAAATTTTAAATATTGTGCTTTACTTCAGAGTGTTTCTTCATAGATAACCTTTCAGTGGTAAATAACCTTAAATACCAAGAGGTAGCACTGATTACTCTTCACTGAATTCATGTGAAAAAAACCCTCTGCTGATAATTCTGTTTCTGGTGGTACTTACTATGAGGAAGAAGCAACAGGGTTATTTTTAGATGTTTTGAACAGAAATAAAACTACATGACAAGACACAATGCAGACGCAAAATGGGACAGAGCCAAAACAAATAAACAAGAAAGTTCAGTGCATCTTCAAATCTTAGTGTCCTACTCCAAATCTGGTGCAGCAGAGTTCACTTATGATTTACTTGTTGACTGGATATCTTATGAATTTTAAACTTGTAGAGAGCAGTCAAATAAAAACAAACAAACAAACAAACACATGAAGCTAAAATTATAGAAATAACAGATGACAGAGACATGTTTGGAAGTGGCTACTGTTGATAAAGAATGGCAGCTGACATTCCTAAAGCTATTTGCTTTAGGAAAGAATGAATTTTTTTTTTTCTTTTTTGTTTTCCAAAAAACTTGAATGCTGGTTTTTTTTGTTTGTTTGTTTGTTTTTGTTTGTTTTTTTGTTTGTTTGTGGGGTTTTTTTGTTTGTTTTTGTTTGTTTTTTTTTTTAACAGCCACGTTGATGACGGAGACTGTTGGTAAATGCTATAATTCCTGATGATGTATGGAGTCTAATTTGTCTGCTTTATCTGATTTTCTTTATATTTATTCCAAACTTCATTTTTTTGTAGTGAGAATCCTACTTAAGTCTTCACCCCTTAAAACTGACACAAAGGACTCATTTAAGTCCTTTGCTTTAGACTTATTCAAAACTTTCTACTATTGTTTTCACTATGTTTTGCAGGGAGGTCATAAAAAATTCTTTATGAGCCCTGCTAATTTCCTATTTAATCTACCAATTTATATTTTTTCCTCTTCTTGCCCATTTGTGTAAACTTGATTTCTTAAATGTTGTCCTTTTCATTATGACAGCGTACTTAATTTCCCTACTGATACATGCAAAGACATTTCATTGGAGTTTTTGGTTTGTTTTTGTTTGGGTTGGAATTTTTTGTTTGGTTTGTTGTTTTTTGGGGGGTTGGGGGAGGGGGCTGGTGTTTTTTAATTGATTTGGGATTGGGTTGGGGGGGGAAGGGAATGGTGCGTGGTGAGTAGTTGGTCGTTCTAGTTGTGGCATTCATTTTACCTGGATATCTAATATACTATTTGTAAATATTCTTCTGAATTCTTGTGAAGGACTTAATTTTTAAGATGCTTCTTCCAGTTTTTTTCATAGAATCATAGAGTTCTTTAGGTTGGATAAGACCTTTAAGATCATGAAGTCCAATCATTAACCTAATTCTACCAAGTCCCTAAGCACCATATCTATGCAACTTTTAAACATGTCCACAGATGGTGATTCATCCACTTTCCTGAGTAGTCTGTTCCAGCATTTGATAACCTTTTCAGTGAAAAAATTTTTCCTAATATCCAACCTAAATCTCCCTTGGTGCAACATGAGGCCTTTTCCTTCTGTCCTGTTGCTTGTTACTTTTGAGAAGAGACCAGCAGCCACCTCATTACAACCTCCATTCGGGTAGTTGTAGAGAGCAATACTGCCTCCCCTGAGCCTCCTTTCCTTCAGACTAAATAGCCCCAGTTCCCTCAGCCACTCCACATAAGACTTGTGGATTTTTGTTTGTTTATTAAGGATTTTTTTTTCTGTTTTCTTGATTTTTGGGTTGTTTGGGTTTTCTTTTTAACTATTTTGGTAATTTTTATTGAGTTCCCTTTCTTGAAATTGGTAACTTTTGGTTTGTATTTGTTTGACCTGATCTCTCACACAGAGATGCTTAATCCTGTTGCATTGTCATCTACAGAGCTCTTAGAGCATACAGAGGAGCTCTCTAATAATAATTTTGCACTGCAGATGGTCAGCAGTGCAATCCTAGTATTAGACTTTTATCATCAGACTGAAATCTTGTACCCACAGACAATCCATCACACTTTCCTTTTCCTGTAATACGTTTATGCTGTTACACTTTGTATTATCCTATATGTGCTACTTTTCTGCTGTTATCCCTACACTGCCATTCTTACAAAACTGGTAGCCTGATAATGCTCTGTCTAACTGATTATTCTCCTTCCATCGAGTTTCTGATACCTATATTATTTTGGAGAGGTTCATTGGTGACTAGACTTCATTCTCCCATCTTAGTTTTGTGTTCCTAGCATTGGTGTAGAAGCAGTTGAAAGTTTTGCTTAAAGATGCCAATAAATTAAAGATGTTTTAAAGACCTTTCCTTATTCACCCCAATTGTACTTTTCATCCCCAGCACTCCCCAGTCTTCTCTGAGGAACACTGAATATAAGCTACATATACCTCAGTGGCACGTCAGTCTGAACCAGGAGCTGCTCCGTGCTCATTGACTTTCCTCTGAATTTTGTTCTAAAATGTTTTTGATTTCTGTGCCAGCAGCCAGGCTCTGTTACTGTTAAGGTGCAGTCTCTTCTTCCCTGCACATGTTCCTTCTGTTCAAAGAGTTTCCCCAGTTCCTAAAGTGCCTAAGTCACTTTCCACCTAGACTATTGTGTTGTCCTTGTGGGCTTGGGGTCTCTTGAAAAATAGAAAGTGTCTTTTTATACTATGGGTTCACAATACAGTGGAAAGAAAAACAAAAAAAAACCCCACACAAATATATTCAGCTTTCAGAGCTACCCACAAATCTGTCTCTGAACAGAGCAGTGTAAAGGATGGCTGGAACATTGTCCTGGTATTTTAGGCAGCTAAACAGATTATACCAGTCCTGAGAAACAAGAAATTACAAAGATCTTTTAGATTCCAGAACAGGTATCAAATGTATTTTGACAAGACTAATTAGTAAGTCCATAATGTGAAATATATTATGCATCACAGGCAAATAATGGCTATTAAGGGTAAAGAGGAAGGGGGAAGGAAGATACGATTGCTGTGTGGCATAAGGAATGGTTATGTCCACAGAAGTGTGACAGTTGTGCAGCTCAGAGTGAGCCCTCCAACTAGGGGATGTCTTCTCTACATCCTGCATTAAACGTGTACAAAAAGCTGATGGAAAATCTGGTTCTCGTGCTTGAATATAGTGTCAGAGAGAGAAAAAAACATTTTTCATTCTCTTTGATCGTTATCTACACCTTCAGAGCATACTTCATTTAAGGTGTGATTGTATTGATGAAATGGACATGAACATATTTTGGTATTTTTTTTCTCATCTTAAAAAGTTATCTGTTTTTCCATCTTTCCTCACAATAAAATGCTCGAAATCTCCAAACTGATGTAATTTTAAGGAATATGGATGTGGTTTACTGCGGCCCCCAGGTATATCCCATAGCATTTCTTGTTTGATTGTGTAAGTACCCCATCTAGTTCATAAATAACTGCTGTAAGCCTGGAAGTATTTAATCGTTCCATGCTATGGAAGGTAGTGTCATGGCAATGTCACTGTTTTTATTAAGTCAGACAAACTTCCAGGAATTATTTTGTCATTACTTTAGGCAAAGTAACATACATAAGACCAAAAAGGATGCCTCAAGTATAGTTCAAAATGTTGAAGATTAAATTGTAGATTGCTTCTCAAGAAATTTAATTGTGATTTATGTTAAATGATTTCTTTTTTTCTTGTCAACAGGAGGACTCTGCCGACTGTGGTGGTGCCTCTGGTCTGAGTCCATCACTGTGGTCTATGGTAGGAGTTCAGCTGGTCCTGCTTTGGCTGTTATCTGGCAGCAGACACTGCCAGTTATGACCTTGTGAAACCAAAACCTGCATAACTTAATCGAGACTCGGCCAAAATGCCAGCCTCAGTTTCATTTCAAAAGGGTCAGCTCTTCAGAGAGCAGCAGAACAGCCGTGCTCGTGTCTGGCTGCCCCTCGCTGTCAGACGCAAAGGCCCCACAGTGGCTGCGTGTGGGACTGTCGTTCATGCTGCATCATCTGTGCCATCCAAACAGCGTTCTGTGCGTGCTCCACTGGGAAATCTAAGATGATTTTATTTTAATTTGTTTGTTTGTTGTTGTAATCTTGATGACTTCATGTAAAAGGGCTCCCCTGACAATAGCTTCTGTATATGATTTTCATTTCTTTAAGCTTTGGATATCTTGAAGATTTATATTCTTTTACATGACTCATTAGGTAAAAAAAAAAGAAAAAAAAAGAAAGAAAAAAAAGAAAATGTACTCCCAAATATTCATTAATAGCACCATGATGGCTTCTCTGAACATCAGTTTTGTCCAAACTACTTAAGTAAGATGAAAATATTGGCTAGTATTCATCAAAAGTTCAGCATGGAAAGGAAAGGGAAGGGAAGGGAAGGGAAGGGAAGGGAAGGGAAGGGAAGGGAAGGGAAGGGAAGGGAAGGAAAGGAAAGGAAAGGAAAGGAAAGGAAAGGAAAGGAAAGGAAAGGAAAGGAAAGGAAAGGAAAGGAAAGGAAAGGAAAGGAAAGGAAAGGAAAGGAAAGGAAAGGAAAGGAAAGGAAAGGAAAGGAAAGGAAAGGAAAGGAAAGGAAAGGAAAGGAAAGGAAAGGAAAGGAAAGGAAAGGAAAGGAAAGGAAAGGAAAGGAAAGGAAAGGGAAGGAAAGGAAAGGAAAGGAAAGGAAAGGAAAGGAAAGGAAAGGAAAGGAAAGGAAAGGAAAGGAAAGGAAAGGAAAGGAAAGGAAAGGAAGACTTGTTTTTAAAAATATAAAGGTGCTTGAGATTTAACTAAGAAGTGGTTCTCATCTTAAACTTGGTGTCATAAGAATGTTGATTACAATATAATATTCACCTCTTTTTCACAATGCAGTTATATATAAAACTAGAATCCTTCAAAGGCTCAAACAAAAACACTTGTGAATAAAAAAAAAAATGTCTTTGTGATATTTGAACGTTGGTTTCCAAGGGTATTTTGCATGATGATGATGCTATGTTATTGTTTTTCAGTTTGTTTTCTTTGATGGTAGAGTATAGTCCATTGAAAAGATAACTGAGTGATTCTTTTATTGTGTGAGAAACTGAACATTGCAATGTGTTGCAATCAAATCATATTAAATTATATTATGAATAAGAGCTCTGAATATACTGTGCAATGAAAAAAAAAGCTGAGAAAATAGGGTAAATTTACCTATCATTACAAAAGAGTTGAGTTGGATTTTTTACAGAATAGCAGTCTCACATGAAAATCTGTGTACAGATATTTTAAGTATATAAAAATCAAATTTAACACATTTATTTTTGGAAGAATAGGTTCTCAGAGGTTCACATCAGGTTCTCCCATTGTTTCCTTCATATAAAACCACCTCTAATATTCAAACTTCTGCTGCTGCTATTTATTATTGAAAATAGCATATTTAACAGCAAAATGTCCTGATTGCTGAGATTAGAAAAAAATCTAAACAAATGGGGAGCCTTGAATCTATATGTATGCACATTGATACTTGATTGTGAATAATAATTTTAGAATTTGTTTTTATACAACCTCATTGGTGATACAGATTGGTGCAGTAAATTACAATATTACAGTGTAGCATAGTGTTGATGCAAAATATGATTTGCGCTTTTTTTCCTAGTTTTCAGAACTAAACAGTATTGCAAGACAGCTAAACCAATGAATGTGCAACTCTGCTGGTATTGTACAATTCTGCTAGCAACTGCAATATGCAAATATTAACATGGCACAATACACTCGCTCTTTAAAAAAAATAAGAAAATGCAAAGCATTGGTATGTATATGCTGGCGATTGATTGATATAATTTTGATCATGCCAAAATCTTAAAGAAGTAATTGGGCATGCATTAATATCCTATGAAAACTGAAGAAGCTAATCAAAGCCATGGCATGGCTGAAAATATCAGATGTCTACTGTAGCTGTACCCATGACTGGTTTGTTGTTTTTCTCATGTAGCTTGGCTCCAGCTATGCATCATTTTCTCATGTTTGGGAATCCAGTGAGTAAAAAAAAAAAAAAAAAAAAACAAACCAAAAAACCCTGACCTTTTGTTCAGTGATCAGATTTAGCTTTTTCAAAATGTATCCTTCATAAAGAGGTTAGAAGTATCATTAACTGTGTGGGATGACTTCAGGTCCCCCTCAGGGAAGGTGAGCTAAATTTGGTCATATCAGTGAAGATAATCTTGGAGCTCTTCCTTCCAGTCATATTACTGCACTTCTTTTCACCCTATCCACAGTTACCACCTGATAAAAAATTGGTTTGAGTTTTTCTAATGCTGAGACTGGATCCTGTATTTTTCGTTAAAATGGTCAGCTGAAGGTTTATGGACGGTACAAGTTTTGTAGGATTAGGCCAATACTCACTACACTGATAGCACTTGCTCTAAGATTATTTAGAACACGTTAGTTTGCATTTTGCTCTTTTAATTTCTTCAAAGATTGTCAGAAAGTTCTCTGTAGTTTTCACTTGGCTTCCCAAAAGAAACCCTTCATGGAAAAGTTACATTATGTAACATTTTGTAACAATGTGCTTACACAGGTAGACTATATTTTGAGCTACTTAATAAACCATTGATTAAAATCTGTAGGCAGAAAGACAGATGGCACAAAGCCATGCTGCCACAGAAAGAATTGTGGCTTTTTCTCTGATCCCACTTCCCTTAGAGTGCTCAAATATAAAAGAAGAGAGAAGCCCCCACCATGCAGACACATTACCTTTTTTGGTTTATCCAAAGAGGTAAATGTCTTTTGTTCCTCTCCTCTGCCCCTCTACATGACCTGAAGAAACATGTTTCTGTATAAACAAACACATAGCCTTGAAGCCATTTTACCCATCTCACAGAACACTCAGGATCTGGCTCTCCCAGAAGGGGCTAGTGCTATCCCCATAGAAACCAACACTTTAAATAGGAAAAAAATGGAAATTTGACTTCTTTTTGCAGAAAGCAATATATATTTTGGTCCAAGTGATAGTCAATATTTTTTTGTTTTAAAATGCACTACCTAGATATCTGGAAATTACAAAACACAGAAAGAAAATGGAATGTGAATTTCAGCTATCTCAAAATGTGTATAACAGTCTATTAGAAATAACTTGCATGAATAATACATATTCTCATGCAGAAGAGTATCCTGACTCTCACGTAATGCATAGTAGTAATATTCTCTTGTCTGAAAGAAGAAACTTGATCCTAGGCTTTAAATGGAGACATTTTCAAATTACAATATGTTGTAAAGTTTTTTTTAAAAAGCCAGATTAAAAAGCTCTGTTGATATTTGCTCAGATCTTTTAAATAGCACTAAGGGAACTGCTGGGATTGTTTCAGTTTACACAGAAGTCATGCAGCCTATTGTATGTCTGACATCCACCATTAAAGTTGTTATAGCATGGTACTGTGCAAAACATGATCTGAGGACTTAGCATGAAAGGTTTCTTTCTAGTTTTTCATTTAAACAACCAGCATTACTGCCAAAACACTGACCGTGGTCCATATTTGTAACAGGTTTTTAACATGACATAGTATGTTTAATTGACAAGATTTTTAGGTCCTGTACCTTTTAGACTTTAGTATGATCTTTTTCATGTTTCTAATGCTTGAGGCTTTACTGCTTAACTTGACAAAGAACAGTGTTGCTGCCATTTGTAAGTTTTCCTATAATATTCCTTTTACTAACTTGAAAACTGGCCTTACTGGGTTCAAATAGGCAGTATCCCTTTTAAGTGGCCTTTGCAACCCAAGTGTTACTTGCTGTGGTTGAGAGTTTTTCAGTATCACTGAAGATACATTAAGACCTTTTGTTCCCATTAACACCTAGACTCAGAAAACATACTTAGTGTGTCTTAATTTCCAAGTACAACCTCTGTCGCACAGGTCCTAAAAATTCAGATGCTAGCACACTGATAGGAAGTATATTAGTGCCTACAAGGCACTGCAGTGTACTTGGGTGGTTTTGGAATGTCAGCTGCACGTGAAATCTTAATAGCTCCTTCCTTAGGTTAAATTTTACCCTAGCTTCATCAGACATCCAAGCCTTTAACAAAGGCCAGATTTAGTTTTGTTTTTCATACCACGATGTTAATATTGTTAATACTCATTGTACACTACTGTAAAAAGATTAAAACAAAGTGTCTGAAAACAATTCAAGAGTTCTGAAAAGTTAGCCTCACCCTCCTCCCAGCTACTTGCATCTGTCCTGCTTATGGTTTAAAAGAAAAACATCATCTTGAAGAAATAATTTCACTGAGGCTAAAGGGATACTGTCTTGTTCAGATGCCATGAAACTGCGATTGTGATCTGACAAAGCTGTCTTCTTGTGTTGTATGGAATGTCTGGATCATGCTTTCTGGGATATTTTTATTGAAATGCTCAGTGTGCGTTTCTGCAAAAAAAAGGCTTGGTTGCTCCTACAAGGCAAGCAGGTCTTTCTCCCTTTTCTTGTGTTCTCTTGACACTTTTGTGGAACTTGACAAGCCTGGAAAAATAATTTTTTTGTAAAAATTTGTACAATAATGTTATAAAAAGTTTATAATCCTAGAACTGTTGTGTTAATTCTTGTGCAAAAACAGTATATTCAGAATAAAAGTTTATCATTTAAAATCAACAATTACTTGCTTTGTTCACTCTGTGTAATAAAAAAATGTAAATAAGTGCCTTCATAATTTGCTGTATAATACTTCTGAGTTTGCTATATAATTACACACAAGTGTTTGAAAGAGTTATTTTCCAATACAGAAGCAGTGACTAAGCACAGTTCTCATTGGGGTTCGAAGGAGGGTGTCCAGAAAATCTTCATTTCTGCTTCATTTGCATCTGTGAAAATCTAAAAATACTGAAAAAAAACAAAACAAAACAAAACAAAACTGTAACCAACAAAAACTGTGAGTCTGTAAAGTACTCTGTAAAATAATAGTCTGCAAAACATCCGAAGTAGTCCTGTTGTTCTCAAACAATTGCTTTTGGAAGGATTGCCATTTACTAA